TGGAAGCGAGTCAGTTTCAGCTGAGTGATTCTCTCCAAAGGGAGTAAATCGTAGTTGTTAATAGCATTGATGTCCAGTTTAAAGCTGATCAGCTCTAGTTTGCGAAGATTCAAAAGACCGGTCATTGTGCGAAAAATTTTAGGATCTAGGGTTGAGTAGGTCTGGTAAAAAAGGTGATAATGTTAAATGTTCAACTTTAACGAAAACGATAAACTTACATATGAATTTGGAACCTCGGCAATAGCGCTCCACTCAAACTCAATACGGAGGACATACAAGTTGATAAATGAACTGACGTTGACGTATGCTCGGTCGCTATTATCTCTATCATAGATATCTCCAATGTGGAGCATTTCCAGTTCTTCGACAAAGCGTCGACTGACGTTGACCCAGTTCTTGACGCTTTTTGGAGATAAGCTGGCGATACGGGTCCACAAAATGAACGTGTTTCTGGTCATTTGCCTGATGACCTCAGTAGAGTTGTCCTCTTGGCTTTCGTAGGCAAAGCTTTCGATGTCATCAAGTGGTAAATGTCTCCACCAGTGACGACCTAAGTCGGTGATGCCCAGGCGTCGGATAGAGGAGCAACGTCTGATGGCGTTCAGCAAGGCTTCCTGGTGACCTCTGGGCAGATTAGAGGCCCTAAAAACGGCGAAAGTACGGAGCTTGGTCCAAGTGGGAAGAAAGCGAATGAGGGCGTTGGCGGACTCCTCATCGAGGACAGTGTCCACAATTAAATGCTCCAAATGGGGGAACATGTTGGTAATTCGCTGGAGAAAAACTTCAGAGACAGTCGAATCGTAGCCAATACTGAAGTCTTCATTTGGATAGGCTTCCGCTTCAATTTGGAACATTTTGAAGGGCTTCAGATTGGTTGCAAAGAAACGACGAGCCAGGTCATCCTTCTCCAGCCCTTCCTCAAAGTAGATGAGCACATGTCGGTTGTTAACAAACATACACTCGATGTTTTCTTTCCAAGAACGGCAAGCATAGCGAAGAAAAAGAGCCTCTGATGGGTCCAACTTTTGGAATATTAGGCGCAGCATTTCGGGTGGAATCTCGTCGGAAGAAGTGGTAAAGGGTTGCACTTCTTCTTCACCTTCTTCGACCTCTTCTTCTTCTTTCAGCATGGTGGCCAAGGTGCAGGTAAGTTACAGTTTTTGCAAATCACAGTCAGTTAGATGGTGTGGAAGGAGAGCTCCAGTGAGCGCAAATGAGACTTTGGTGCTCTGACGCGACAGCAACGGTGCGGTCGATGACAGTGGTGCCACCAGCGAGCGCGATAGGTACTATTTAAAACTCAAAAAGTTATGAACTTTCACTGTGTATCTCACCTCATCTATGACTCAGATTGTTGAAAAGGTGGCGAGATAATGAAACGTCGCTTGTTCTCACGTTCATGTCAGCTAACATGCGGTGAGCGAAATCCCAATCACAAACACGGGGTTTGACTTGACACGTCAGCGAATTTCTTTTGACTGCTTTCAACGAGGTAACCAGAAGCACAGTGGTAAAAAGCGGACGCATTTCGAAACGCATTTTTCATTCTCCAAATTGTATCAAACCGGCCAACATGAGCAGTGACCAGAATTACGAATGGTGTCTGATTGAGTCCGATCCTGGCGTCTTTACTGAGCTCTTACGTGGATTTGGTATGCTTTTGGAGAAAACTCCATCTTGTTGCAAGCTTGTTTTATCATCTTCTTTCCCCAGGCGCCAAAGGAGTTCAAGTGGAAGAGATGTACGAGCTGAATCAAAGAACGCTGGATAAGCTAAAGTAACTCCGTTATCTCTCTTTGCTTAATCAATTTGTGACACACTGTTCTCCTTTTTTTCACAACAGACCAATGCATGGATTGATATTTCTCTTCAAAGTGATTCCAGGGTCGGACTACTCTGATGGCACTCTTCTTCAAGACGAGAAAATCCTCTCGGAGATTTTCTTTGCAAAGCAGGTTAGATTTTTTTTACATCAAAACGTCTGACACTTTACAGTTGACCTTTTGTTCCTTCAATTAGATTGTCAAAAATGCCTGCGGAACCCAGGCGCTGATAAGCATTTTGATGAACTGCAATCACGAGGATCTCCAGATTGGCCAAGCCTTGACTGAGTACAAAGAGGCGAATAAATGTGCCGATGCCCACACCCGAGGAATTGCACTTGCCAACAATGAAACAATTCGGACCGTGCACAACTCTTTTGCGCCGCAGGATTTGGCGCTAAGAGAGGGCTATAATCGAAACCAGTCTTCCTACCACTTTACCAGCTACTTTCCATTTGCGGGCCGAGTCATTGAGATGGACGGGCGAAAGGAAGGCCCCTACGACCTGGGACCAATCGGCGCGGGAGAAGACTGGCGACTGTTGGCGTGTTCCGCCATCAGCAAACGCATGCGAAAGTACCACGGTAGAGACATCGACTTCAACGTCCTGGCCCTGATCAGCGATCAGTTGGCCATTCACACTGCTCGCCTTGAGATGGCTGTTCAGCACAAAGACGAGACTCCCTGGCTGATTAGCTCCCTTCACGAGCTGATTGACGATGAGAAGGACAAGATGGAGCAGTATAAAAAGGACAACATTCGTCGCCGTCACCAGTACCTGCCGCTCATTATGGACATTCTCACGGCCCTGGCCGAGCAGGGCAAACTGGTGGAGCGATTTGAAGTGGCCAAACTCAAGTCCGTTCGACACTCCTACATGATCAGAAGCTCACACGACGGCAGCTCTTCAGATGGAAGTTCCTCTATGGGGAGCTCCTCTTCATCCTCCTCCTCCTCCTCTCAAAGAAGCTCCTCTACCGCGGAGATTAACACCGAGCGAGAAAGCTCTGAAGAGGACATGGACTAACCAGGACAACAGGGGATCTTCCGAGCACATTGAGAATAATCAATCTTTACTTTAATGATAATAAGCTTTGATATCGTCCCTAACTTATGATGATGCTGCATAAATGCTATTAATAAAAGAAACAAATTGTAATGATTATCACATGTTGGCAATAATGCTGCTCCGTCCGTCTCTACATGCGGCGGGTAATGACCATCTGGCTGAGGTAGTCGGCAAGTTGATCAACCTTCTTCGGAGGCAGTGCCGCCGCCGACTGTCCGCTCTGCACAAAGCTCTCAAAGAGTCGACAGGACTCCACTTGCAGTTCAAATGCGTGCCCGTACTTGTAGGCAATTCGCAGAATGTCTCGATCAATTCCAGCCAACTTGGCCACATTGTACCCGTAGCTCTGACTGCAGACGCCCTCCTTGAGTTTGTAGAGGAAGATGACATCAGCATCAGTGGGATCCAGCTTGTTGTCGTTCTCCACCAGGTAGTCCTGAAAGGGAGAGGAGTTTATAAAGAGATATGCCAGTAGAGTCCCCCACACTTACCATGTGTGCCAAGGTGATGTAGGGCAGGTCCTGCAGCTCATCGACAATGGAGTGAAAGTGCGTGGAGAAGATGCACCGACAGCGAGTGTGCTCCGCCAGCTCCTCGAGCACCGCCTGTGCAATGGCTATACCGTCAAAGGTGGAGGTTCCCCGTCCCAGTTCGTCAATCAGCACCAACGAGTGAGGGGTGGCGTGCCGGACAATGGCCACCGTCTCATTGAGCTCCACCATGAAGGTGCTCTGACTTTCAATCACTTCGTCATATGCACCTATGCGCGTGAAAATTCTGTCTACCGGTGATAGGCTACAGCTCTTCGCCGGCACATAGGCGCCAATCTGCGCCAGTACCACGGCCAGGCCCACTGAGCGCATCAGCGTCGTCTTGCCGGCCATGTTGGGCCCGGTGAGCACCATCGTGCCGTTCTTCAGAGTAATGTCATTGGCAATCAGCTGACGAGCCTCGATGAGACAGGCATTTCGCAGCTCCTCCGCCTGGAAGATGGCCTCCTCCTTTTCATCAGAGCTCTGATTTCCGCCTTCTTCAATTGTAGACGCCGACTGCTCCGCCGATGATGATGGCCAGATAAAGTTGGGCAGTGTCGAGTAGGACTCGTACGATTCAAAAATCTGCTTCGTCTTGGACAGTGAAATAAGCACATCGAGCTTGGCGGCGCACCGGATGGCCGTCGACCAGTGCTGGTAGTCATTGTCGAACTTTTCCAGTATGCGACGGAAGATGTCACTCAACAGACTGGCCCTTCGGTTCTCCTCCGCCTCCAGCTTGGCGACCAGCTTCAGAATTGTGGGCGTGTGAAAACGCTTAAATCCCTTCTTTCGGCCTACCTCCTTGTAGGACTCACTGCTGCTGCGGGTGGTCTTCACCACCGCCGAATCAGGAATCTCCAGCTGGTACCGATTCTTGCCCGGCTTCTCATTGAAGTAGCACACTCGAACTCCAAAGAAGAGCTTCTGCTTGTCGAGGTACTCATTCAGCTGCCGCTTGGCACTGGCAATGCCCTCCACGGCCTCGTCGTACTCCTCATCCGCCCCTGGATTGGGAATGATGCTCAGCTCCTTACGCGCTTTCTCCGCGTCAAACGATCCTCGAAAGTGGGCGATTTTGCTCTCCAGCTCAGGAAAGAGTCCCCCAGCAGACTGAAGTGTGACCAGCTGCGTGAGGAGCTTCGATTTGACTGGCTCATCAGTGCTGCTCAGCAGTGCACATATTTCCGCCATAAGCGCCGACAGGCTCTGAAAGCCATCGAGGGTGTTGAGAAAGTGGGCCAGGCGTCGTCGTCGGTAGAGATCGCCCTCAAAGAGAATGGCTCGAGAGTCGGGGTGGTCGCGAGATCGCTTCAGCGAGCTGGCACTGTGAATCGTCGTCAGGAGACGCTCCAAATCGGGCAGCTTGCCGAGCACTGCAGCCCAACTGGCCACCTTCAGCTGAACGGCCCCGTTCTCCGCCAGCTCTCGAACCGCCTCCTGGCGCAGCTCTAGCTCCTCGCGTTGGTTGCACAGCGGCAGGCAAAGCCAGTTGCGCAGGAGGCGCTTGCCAAAGGGAGTGCTGCACTTGTTGATAATCTTGAAGAGAGTGGAGGTTTCTTCGCCTCGCAAGTTCTGCAGCACTTCCAAGTTCTTCATCGTCACCGAGTCGAGAATAAGGTTGCGACTGAGCTTTGTGGCGATGTTCTCCTCCGGGATGTACACCTCAAAGAGGCCCAAAGAGAGAATGTCCTCGGAAATGAGCGCCTTCTCCAGGTACTGAATGATGCCGCCCAGAGAGGAGACGGCTAGTTCGTAGGCAGGAAGGCTCGTTTGCTGTAGCACATCAGAAGGGTCGAGCACCTGACTGCGAAACTGGGCACTCATTTTGGACAAAACATCCTTCTCCGCAATGTACTGCAGCGTATCAGCTGAAGTCCAAAACTTTCGAAAGTTATGACGAGGCGCAGTGGGGTAAATTAGCTCAAGAAGTTTGCCAAATTGAGCCACGCCTGAAAAGAGAATCTCCGCCGGCAAGTAGTGAGCAAATAAGGTTCGCAGCTTGGAGTAGTGATGGTCGTCTTTGAATTGAGTGAGAAAAATCTTGCCGATAGAGACATCAACAAAGGCGACGCCAAACTCGTAGCAGCCATCAGTGTATGTCTAAAGAGAGAAGACGAATTGTTAAACTTGTGGACTGCCAAAGCTGTTAAAGTAGTAGTTACCTTGTATGACAGCGCGTAGAGGTACGAGTTGGAAAAGTTCAGGGCATCCGAGTCAATGTCCGACGTGAATCGAGTGCCGATGGAGGAGATGCGGCAAACCTCCCGCGTTACCACCTTGTCAAATTTGCCAGACTTTGTCTTCTTCGTACGCTGCTGCATCATATCGGGCGTCTCGGTTTGTTCAATGCGCGCAACGGAGTAGCCCTTTTGTATAAGCACATCAGCGTAGCGTTTGTAGCTCTTTTCGGGGAATCCAGCATGAGCGTAGTTGCCCTTCATGAACTGAATCTGCGCCTCTTTGGTGCAGATGACGGCGTCCATGTGAAAGACCTCGTAGAACTTGCCCATCTTGAAAAAGAGAACGGTGGCAAAGTTGGTCGACTTTATCACCCACCACTGGCGCATGGCGGGCGTCTGCTGATCGAGAAACTCTTTGGGCACATAAAGTGTGTTCTGATCACATTCCGGGTTTAGTTCGCCGTCGATATAGTACTTTTGTCCCTTACCATCGCACATCTTGTCAGGCTGCAAAAAGGGATACGACATGTGAGGCCATTCGCGATCAATGGCTTGAATGTAACTGCAGGTGACCGACTGCGAAATGCTGTTGTTGTGGTTGCCATTGGTCGATTTGCTCATTGACTGGGAAAAGGACTTTGATGCGCTTCGCGAGATGTTGCTAATGTTGTTGTTTTTGCGCTTCGATACAGAAACCGTCTTTGCCTTTGTAGGCTTTTTCTTGGGTGTCTCATCCTCCTCCTCCTCATCATAGAAATCCTCATCACCGTCGTCATCGTCATCGACTTCTTTACTCTCGTCCACGTACATGTCCGAAGAGTCTGACTCTTCGCTTGGCTTATATTCGTCATCTTTTTTGTTTTCCTCTTCGGATGATTCAATCAGCAGTCGTTTGAATCGCTTCTTTGACTTGTTTTGACTCACATCACCACAATTAACGGCATCATTGTCAGAGTCGTCTTTATCAAACAAAGTGTTTTCTTTACGCTTGAGCGGAGTACTCGATTTGACGGAAGGAGAGGCCGTGACCAGTGGAGATGAAGCCTCCTTTGACGGAGTCTTTAAAGGCGTTTTCGAAGGCGTCCGCCCAAAGTAGTTGAGAATGGTGTTCGACTGAGAGACAGACTTTTTCATGGTTGCAGGGTGATAAAGTTCAAGGTTTTTGAACCAAGAAAACACAGCCGCATGACAAGAATGATGCAAACTGGCGCGAGAACAGCACAAAAAGAAAACATTGCAGTGCGGGTCATTCACAGACAAGGTGGCACTTGGCGCCAAACATGATTTTTCGAAAAAAACCTTAACCAGAATTTAGAACTAAAACCAGTAGAAAATAGTTATTCCACTGAGAAAGTATCTTGTTTTTTAGTTATTTTACCAAATTCACAACATCAGTTTTAGTAAAGTTTATTAAACTGTTTAGTCTGTGGCACATCAGTACGCTTTTAAACACTAACCCACTGCAACATGGACTTGGGCGAGGAAAAGAATGGTTCAAACACCGGCTTTAGTGGTACAACTGAAAAGTCTTCAGGTAACAGTGGAGATGATCATTTGACTTGCTTATCTAATCAACTCGAGTATTTCAGCGTACCTTTGGGCAGTCATTGGGTGTGGCATTTTGCTGGTGGTCCTACTCCTGATCGGATGCGCTTTTTACTGCGCCTTCTGCCGAGATCGCAGCAGGGAAAACAACACCAACAGGAAAGAAAGAAGCAAGAAGAAAGGTTCTCAAAAAAAGTCTGTCAACAATTCGTCCAAAGGGAAGCACCACCGACTAAGTCATCGTCATGGAAACTCTCGTCACAACCGAAACACTCAAAGTCGCAGCAAACCGCGGAACCTTAGCAGCAAGGTCGCTCGCATGACCTCCTCTGAGGTGATCAGATTGCCGCCAAATGTAAAGCTGACATAAAACTTTATTCAGAGCACTAAGCTTACAGATTAAAGTACTTTTTAATTTTCTTACATTTTTTGCATCCAACACTGGTACGTCTTTTGCGGAGCTTTCGCAAATCAGAAACTTTCCCACATCTAGTTTTTCGGAAAGTTTTCATTGCTGAACGCTGACGCAACGTTGAGATTCTCATGAAATAATTCAAAATTAAGATGGAGAAAAGTAAGCGCCAAATAGAGGATCAAGAACCAGAAACGAGCTCTTCCAAAAAGTCCAAAGTCGAAATGGCATCGTCTGCATTTGATCGACAGCAAGACGCAACAACTATAGTTTTAAACTGGAAAAACGATGTTTGTTTTAGTTACGACTCATCTATCAAAAGCGGTGTCTTTGGATCTAAAAAGACGCGTTTTTACATCAGTATAAAACCTAAAAATATTGACCCCGAAGTATATCACAACGAATACAGACATTTGGAAGAAGAAGTTTTTAATGTCTACCTTAATCTTGCCAAAAGTTCAATCAAAAAGAAAGTTTTTATTGAATCCTTATCCATTTCTGCAGATAACTCGAATGTTTTTCACAATAAAGGTATTTTCTCGTGTTTTAATTGGAAAACAGCCAATTTGACACATTTTTTCCATAACAGTTCTCACTTCAACTACTCCCTTAAAGACAAACAACATTACTTTTGCAAAAGAATCTGACATGGTTGAAGGTGGTTTTTCAATATCTGTGGAGATTACTTTTAGAGAGTTAGAAGATGGCTGGAATTCCCAAGAATCAATGGCACCAATTAATCATGCCGAAGTGCTCTGTCGACAACTGGCCAACATCACATCCTCATCTCCAACCGATGTGACACTGAAAACAATGTCTGATGGAAAATTGTTTCCAGCACACAAACTCATTCTCAAAATGCGATCTCCAGTTTTTGCCGCCATGTTTTCCGGCGACTTTGTCGAGAATAAAGCGGAAAAACCGGTTGAAATCTGTGAAATTTTCGGACCAGTTATGGAAGCCATGCTCGCGTATATGTACTGCAAGCCTTTTGAGAACTGGAAAATGATGGCCGGCGAACTGGCTACAGCTGCCGACATGGTATGAATATTACTAATGTTGGAAAATTGTTTTTCTAAATGTCATTTTTTGTTTTTACAGTACAACATTCAGTCCTTGTATGATGCCTGTATTGCTAGTCTTCTGGCTGATATTACAGTGGAAAGTGCAGCTAAAAACTTTTACTATGCTCACATTTTCAAATCGATCGACGTAAAGAAGATTGCTTATTTTATACGCGTACATGAGAATGAAGTAAAACTCACCGATGGCTGGAAAGAGCTAACCGAAGAACGAGGTGATTCTCTTGAGAAGATGCTGTCAGAAGTGTTGCCAAAGAAAAAGGCCAAAAATAGCAAGCGCAAGTGATCGAGAGGATGCTGAAGATGATTCTAAGACAACTACGATTGTCATTATGTTAAAATTGGTTTTTAAAGGCTGTAATTCACACATTTTTTATTTAATTAAAACATCAACTTACAGATTAAAATACTTTTACTTTTTAATTTTCTTACATTTTTTTTGCATCCAAGTTGGATGATCCAACACTCTGGTACGTCTTTTGCGAAGCTTTCGCGAATCAGAAACTTTCCTACATCTAGTTTTTCGGAAAGTTTTCATTGCAGAACGCTGACGCAACGTTTTAAGATTCTCATGAAATAACTCAAAATCAAGATGGAGAAAAGTGAGCGTCAATTAAAGGATCAAGAACCAGAAACGAGCTCTTCCAAAAATTCCAAAGTCAAAATGGCATCGTCTGCATTTGATCGAAAGCAAGACGCAACAACTATATTTTTTGATTGGGAGAGCCAGGATTCCTGTGAATACGATTTTCCTCTCACGAGTGCTGTCTTTGGATCTAAAAAGACGCATTTTTTCATCAGTTTACAATCTGACATAGATTTTGAAAACGAAGAATACATAGAAGAAGAAGAAGAAGAACTCGATGTTTACCTTAATCTTGCCGATAGTTCAATCAAAAAGAAAGTTTTTATTGAATCCTTGTCCATTTCTGCAGATAACTCAAAAGTTTTTCACAATAAAGGTATTTACTCATGTTTTTATTTAAAAAAACAGCCAATTTGACACAATTTTTTCCATAACAGTTCTCACTTCAACTACTCCCTTATTTACAACAAACGTAACCCTTACAAAAGTAGGACTTGACTATTTTGAAGGTTGTTTTTCAATATCTATGGAGATTACTTTTAGAGAGTTAGAAGATGGTTGGAATTCCCAAAAATCTCTGACACCAATTAATCATGCCGAAGTGCTCTGTCGACAACTGGCTACCACGACAAGTTCATTGCCAACCGATGTGACACTGAAGACAATGGATGATGAAAAACTGTTTCCAGCACACAAGTTTATTCTCAAAATGCGATCTCCAGTTTTCGCCGCCATGTTTTCCGGCGACTTTGTCGAGAATAAAGCGGAGAAGCCGGTTGAAATCTTTGAAATTTCTGGACCAGTTATGGAAGCCATGCTCGCATATATGTACTGCAAGCCTTTTGAAAACTGGAAAATGATGGCCGGCGAACTGGCTACGGCTGCCGACATGGTATGAATATTACTAATGTTTGAAAATTGTTTTTCTAAATGTCATTTCTTGTTTTTACAGTACAACATTCAGTCCTTGTATGATGCCTGTATTGCTAGTCTTCTGGCTGATATTACAGTGGAAAGTGCAGCTAAAAACTTTTACTATGCTCACATCTTCAACTCGACCGACGTCAAGGAGATTGCTCAGTTTATACGCACACATGAGAATGAAGTAAAACTCACCGATGGCTGGAAAGAGCTAACCGAAGAGCGAGGAGATTCTCTGGAGAAGATGTTGTCAGAAGTGTTGCCGAAGAAAAAGAAAAAGGCCAAAAAAGCCAAAAGAGGCAAGCGCAATTGATTAAGAGGATGCTGAAGATGATTCAGAAAACAACAAAAATTATCATGTTAAAAATGCTATCGACTTTTTAAAGGCTGTAAGTCAAACATTTTTGTTATTAAAACATTCACCAAAAAGAAAGCTCTGCGCTCTCTAGTGGCCTTTATACTGGAGGAGGTATCGATTGGCTAGGATGACGTGCACCGCGGCCCGTCTGCCCTCGTCCGGGTTGAGGAGCTGCTCGACGAGGAAGGTGGCATCCTGTGGCAGTCGCTTGTTGTACCGACTTCTCAGGTACCGTGGCCAGTCGTGAATCTCCGCCAGCATTTGCTTTCGATCGCGGTAGTGAAAGGGAAAGTCTAGGCGAGGTGACAAAGGTGAGGTGATGTGCCAAGTGGGGGAGCAGTGGGCACTCGCTTACCACTGAAGAACATGATGAAGAGAGTGACGCCCATGGAGAACATGTCCGCTTTGAATGCGTCGTACTGCCGGTGCTCCAGAATCTGAGGACACTCGTAGGGAAGGGTGCCGCTGAAAAAAAAGAGATCAAAATTGTGTTTGTGTATTTTCCCCTAGCTCGGAACAGCTCTTACCAGAAGGTGCCGCTGAGAATGACACGGTGTCGATCGGCATCGTAGCACTGCTTGGCAAATCCAAAGTCGGTCAGCTTCTGGAGAAGGAAAATGGTTTTAAGCCTTTGTGTAAGTGCACCCTCTCTCTCTCTTACCGCTACCATGTTGGCGTCCAGAAGAATATTGTCCAGCTTAATGTCCCGGTGTGAGGTTTTCATGCTGTTGTGCAGGTAGGCCAGTCCCGAGGAGGCCTGGAAGAACCACTTGCAGGCGAGTGGCTCCTTGAAGCCATTGTGCTTGGTCGCGTAACCGGCCAGATCGCCATTCGACGCCAGCTCCATGAAAATGTGTAACTAAATTGGAGTGAATTGTAACGTTTTAGCCCTTCTGTTCGTCAATTGGAACACTTGGAATTGGAGATACAAGAAAACTTACCTTGAAATTGCAGCGAAAAATGTCGTACACTCGAATGAGGTTCTCATGTCTGCAGTCGATGAGAGTGCTGATCTCCCTTGGAAGGTACTTCTCTCTTGTGGAGCTGTCCATCTTGTTCAGGTCAATGACCTTCACCGCCGAGTACTGCCCCTGGCGGTTGACGGCCTTGTAGACCGTTCCAAAGGCTCCAGCTCCGAGCTTGTTCTCTATCTTGTAGCCTTTGTGCGCAATGACGGCCAGTGTCTTTCCATCAAAGGCATTGTTGGAGGGCGATTTGGGCATAGTGCAGTTTGAAGGTTAATCAAATGCATCTTTTTGCTTTCTTTACTTTTTATTTAGATCTTGATGTTGCAATTTAGAACTTTAGTCGTTATGAAAAATACTAATTTTCAACAACACTTTCAGAATCTAAAATTGCCTAGTAGTTTTATTAAAAGTAAGCGCACTGGTAGTGCAGTAATTTTGTGTACATTTTACAAGAAAAATTTAAAATTAGCAGAAAGTGCACGAGGAAAAGGGTGGAGAACTGGTGGCGATGTCCACTAGTAGATGTCCTCCAGCTTGACGAAGAGCATGGAATTAGGACAGCGCTGTTCACTGTGCGACCAGTTGAAGCACTTTGGGCAGAGGGTGCTCCCCAGGACGGGACAGCGTTTCATCTGGTGACCAGCAGTCTTGCAGTACCAGCAGTTGCCCACCACCATCGCCACCTCCTCCTCCTCCTCCTCCTCCGCCTGCTGCTCTTCAGCGTCTGCAAAGCACTGCAGGCTGTAGATGTGCAGTTCGTCCTGGATAAAGTTGCGCAGATCACGCAGCCACTTGCGTTCGCCATTGTACTGCTCGCAGTAGAGCGCCTGCTGCACCGCCGGCAGCTTCTCAAAGGCCCAGCTGAAAATGTCAGACAGCAGGCGAACGTCCTTCCAGTGCTAAGGTGTTGTACAAGATGATGAAGATTACAAACAGTAAAGTAAGGCTTTTTACTTACACTCATGGTGATGGCGCGAGCTTTAGTGACCAGAATGAGCAGGCGCTTCATGCCCTCAGTGTCCTCGTCGATGCTCTTAATGGGCGGCAGTCGGCTGAAGGCCGTTTTGAGCGCCCCACGAATGGCCTCGGCAGTGGGCGGTGGAGAATGAGCAAAAGGGCGGGCGACGACAGTGGCCGTGGCGGCGGCTTTGTTCTGCTGTCTCCCAAAGTCGCCAGATAGTCCAAAAGAGTAGTGGCCATCGTAGGACTGGGTCACAAAGTTGTGCTGCGCAGAACGACTGCTGCCTCCAGACGACCACTCACTGAGAGCAGCAGCAGACTCGGGGCACTCTAGTTTCTGCCAGAAGGCGACCACTTTGTTGCGGTAAGTGTCCACCAGCTGCTCATTCAGGTGAACGCAGTCCTTCACAGCGAGCAAGTCGACAATCATTTCCTCCAACTTGTAAATGTGCTCTTGGCAGGAGCGAACCGGGCGCGGACGAGCATTTAGCATCGAGTCGATTATGCGGACGAGATTGTTCAGCTTGCTCACCACACTACCGATGCTGCCATCCTTCAGGGTGGACATTTTTCACGAGATAAAATGAACTGACAACAACAACTATTGGAAAATGAGAAAATGCACCAGACTAGAAATGGCTCAACTTGTCATACAGTCAGCAGATAAATAGGCTGACGTGTCGGAAAATCACTAGACGACGTGGCCACAAAAACAGCTGTCATTATATTTTTCAAAATGTTCATAAACAAGTAGTTCGATTAGTAACAGATTATTGAGCCAGATTTACAGAATTAAAGATGGCGCCATCGTTCTGAGAACTTTTATCAAAATTTTTAGGCAATCATGATCAAGTGAATACACAATTTTAGGTGATTGCACAAGTTATTTATTTTTGAT